GCGTCGAGAGTGGGATATACGCCGCACAACAAGTCATTCAACAAATCGGCGCTCATTTCCCGAAAGACATGACTTTTGATAAATAATTACAAATATAACAAATATTTTATAATTTTAAATATTTAGTCTTTATAATTATTTTAATTATGTTTAGTCAATATAATATAATTATTATTATAAATATAAAGTATTTTTTGTTAATTTTAAAGTATACTTCAATTATTAAAACGTTTTTAAAGATTAATTGAGAAATTAATAATAATATTTTAGGGTAAATAAAATATAGTAAACTATTACGGTAATAAAATTTTGAAATGAGTTTACTTAATTGCCATAAATTATATAATGTAATTGTTTTTTACGATAACTATTACTGGGTCTACATGTTTACGCCAAATACCAATAGTTTTAACATTAGTTGTTATCAAATGTGTAATTCATATATAAAGATAATTTTAACACAACTTATACTTCTAATGCAAAGTCTTTTGATTTTATCATAAAATAAACTGAAAAACACTTTCATTAATAAATAAATAAATGTTCACAACATCTATTCATAATTTTATTTCACAAGTATGAGCAAACAAATGAGTGACCAAGTTAGGTATGTAAATTATCATGGTAAAAACTAAGTATTAATTTTAATAATAATTATGTAAAGCAATAAATCTTAACCTGTATAAAAAATAATTTTAAAAATATTTAATGTTAATTGTGAATAAAATATAAAATTATTGGTATCCAATTAAATTTTATTTAAATAATTTATTATAACCAGGTTACAATTATATTGTGATTTTAAATTTTAATAATGCTTACTACTTACTTATTAAATAAAAAAACATTACTATTTATAAATTTCTTAATTTAAATTAATTTTATTACAATTCAAACCCTAAGGGAAGGCATACTATTAGGTTTGGGTCACCCATTGCTGGACATCATCGTTACGGTAGACCAGAGCCTACTCGACAAATACGGCCTCAACGCTAACGGTAGTGTCCGCGCGAATGACACCCACGAGGGGCTATACCGGGAACTGATGGCCGACTACCGGTGTCAGTACATCGCCGGAGGGTCGGTGCAGAACAGCTTACGCACCGCCCAATGGATGCTTAATAAACCCAATTGTATGACATTTATGGGCGCTATAGGGGACGACCAGTTTGGCCGTATTATGACTGAGTGTATTAGCGCACAGGGAGTTAATTTTGTGAGTCTAGTGGACAGTACGACCGGCACCGGGACCAGTGCCTGTCTTATTAGCGGCAAAAACCGGTCATTAGTAGCATATTTAGGCGCTTCACAGAACATACGGATCGCACATTTGCACCGGAATTACAGTTATGTAGAAAAGGCCACAATTTTCTATACGTCGGGCTATCATTTGGGTATAGACCCCGAGTCTATTATGTTTCTGGCTAAACACGCTCATGATTATCAGGGTAAAATGTTTTGTCTGAATCTATCGGCCCCTTATGTGAGTCAGAAGCTGTATAAACCTTTGTTGGATGTCTTTCCTTATGTGGATATATTGTTTGGTAATGAGTCGGAAGTGCAGGCATTTGCCGAACTTAATGGGTGGCAGGTATGGGAACTCATAATTTTTTTTAAGTTTTTTTTAATATTATGTTTTCATTATATTATTATGAGAGTTAATTTTATAATATTTGATACTGGATAGTTTCTAGAATTAAAAAAAATTATAATGATGTACCAGTAATTTAGACAATTTCTATTAGTTGATCCAATTTTTTATAATGTGGCTAAATTATAAATTATATAATTATTAATAATCAAAGTTACAGTTTTACACTCAAAATCTCAAGTCTAGTAATAATTTAATATGATTATAGAAAGTAGTTTTTAAATGTTTATATAATTTCTTTCAAATATTTAATGAATACTGAATAGACAACAGACATGAAAACTATGATAAGACTGACGGCTGATATGGAGTGCCGGCGAAAGTCGGGCCGAACTGTAGTCATAACTCAGGGAAAGGACTCCGTTTTGGTGGCAAAGACTGACTGTCCGGATGTCAAGGAGTTTGTGGTGAAAGAAGTGGACGAAAGCCTAATAGTGGACACCATTGGAGCGGGCGATGCATTTGTGGGCGGATTCTTCGCACAGTTAGTCCGGAACCGGGAGTTAGAGGTTTGCGTCGAGAGTGGGATATACGCCGCACAACAAGTCATTCAACACATTGGCTGTCAGTTCCCAACAGATATGCTTTTTCAAGGAAATAATATGAAATTGAATTCATAATAAAATTATTTTATAATTTATTTATCTTAATGTTTTGAAATTTTTATTAATGAGTGTTATTTTAGTCGTTTTTAAGTTTTATTACAATTAAGAGTTGGATTAGAAATTATGTTCATATTTATTATATAAATAGTAAATTTAGAGAAAGTTAAACAGTGACATAAGTTAGGGTAATAATAATAAATTATAATCGTTTCACACATTTCTTATTTCATGAATTTGTTTACCATTGTATTGTATTACCATTTGTCCACCAAATCTAGGTTGCATTGAATTGGTGACCATTACCGGTAATATATCCCATGAGTTCATTTTGACATTTGCAGAGTCGTAGACATGAATTGATTTCAATTTGGGACTACTTTTCAATACAAATGCCTTTATATCCGATTCATTGAGGTTTACGTCTGAATTGCTGTAAATGACCAGTGATTGCAGTTTAGGGAGACTTGAGATGTGATCCAAACAAAAGGCATTTATTTCTAGATTTATATCATGTATTACGAGTGATCGAAAATTCATGAGATTTGCGCCGATCTCTCGAAACAGATTGCAATCAATTTGCCATAACTTGAGTGAAAGATGTGTTAATTTATGCCAATGTTTGAGTGAATCAAATATATGCCAATCAGTCACCATTTGCGTCCCTTCGGGTAATTTAAGAGTTAAATTCAATCGTTTTAATCGTCGCATAAATTGTATTGAATTGAATGTCTCGACACAGAGTTGTGGTGTTTGTGACCCCAATGAAAGACCAAAGTTTTTTAATTTCTGACATTTTAAACTGATTTCCACCAAAGGCTCAGATATTGATTAATCATTGATATTAATATTCAAATATTTTGTCTCTAATATTAGATTTTATTTATAACTTGTCATAACTTTGCTATACTGTACTTTTAGATTTAGTTTGTATTTACTATTAGTATATTAACTGATAAAGGTCCTAGATATACTGTCATATTAGATATAATGTATTAATTCTATACCTTTTTAATAAATAGTAGTTTCTATATTGTAGTGTATATTAAAATAACTGTACTGTAGCATTAATATAGTTTTATATTAATATTAGTGTTGCGAATAAATTAGTAAAGATTAGTGTATTTAATATAAATATTAAAATAAATTAAAATGTATATCTAAACTAGTTTTTAATATTTTGATGTTTGCAATCACTAATATTGAGCATTAAGTGTTACATCTTTATTATCCAGGTGTTTTATGTAATCTCCCACTCCAATAATTAATTATAGTTATATATGAATTTCAAATACAATATTTGGGTTTTGTATATAATTTTTATATATTTATAATAACTACTAACTGTATTTACTACTCGCTTGGGATTCAATGTTAGGATCAATTACTTTAATTACAAGGCTTTTCAAACACTTATTATTAGCCATGATTTGACAAACTTTTCAGTTGTGAACTGAGAGTCGAAAGTGAACTCAAATTTCATGAAATTCTTCGCCAATCAATGGTTATCCGTCTCATCAAACACTGAATCCAATGTCTGAACCGTTAAATGAGATAAATTGTGGCAAAGAGTCAAACAGTCTCAGTCAAACAAACAAACTATTACCGTAATCATTATATTAAAATTATAAATATATTAAATTTATCACTGTAATTGTATTTATTAATGCATATTTAGAAATACCAGAAAACAGTATTTTATATTTTACTAATTTATATATTCATTGTAAATGGTCTAAATAATATAAAGACTTAATGGAAAATGTGTTTATAATAAATATATCTATTAAAATCACTAATATTTATAATGTTTTACGACTTAACTTTTTAATCTAAATGAACAATAACATTGATTTAACTACTAATAAAAGTAATTATCTACTGATAAAATTATATTATATTTTATAAATTAGTTTAATCTGAGTCATTATATGCTATTGCTATTAACTTTATATTTCCAATGGCAACTAGTTATAAAAACAATTCACACATACATATAAAAATACAGTAATTAGAATTTCATGTATAAAAGTGTGCAAGTATCATTGTCAAAAATTTCAAAATAATTAACGTTAACTTAATATGCCTAATAAATCATTAGCTGGCTTAAATCTATTAATATGTTTACACAAAATACATGGTATTACATATTTAGGTACCACGGCAAATCCCAATCATAATCATTGTAAATTCATTCGTGTATTACAAACACTGTGGCATATAACCTTGTTAATTACACTCGGCATTCACTGTTACCTGGCTATTCACTTTTTGAGCGCTAGAGCTGACGTTTACAAAACTCATATGACCGGGAATAAAACTATTTTAATATTAACGTTAAATGTTGGATCTGTATTAATACCTTCTACATCGATATTTGTATGTATCTATACCCTGTTCAAGGGAAAGACTATTTTGAAATGTCTTACCAATGATGAATATACACGAGTTAACCCAATAATTGAAGGTAAAATTTGATTATATATTGCGTGCATGCAGTTTGGATTGACCATGCTAAATACTTTAGTCAAGATATATGCTGTAATAAGACTAATAATAAAAACCCCTGCTGTAAATACATATATAAATATCATTGTGGTGATTTTTCATTCATTACTATACTATATTGTAGGTATTGTCCAGTTAAGTATATTGTAATACTCCCCCCCAATGTTCCCAATATTCCCAATACTCCCCCATAATATTCCTATTTGTTATAAACCACTGTAAACCCCTCCCACACCCAAACTAACCTATAAAACATTTTTAAAATTTATTATATAACTTACTGTAAAACCTATACTCACCGGAGTTGTACCACAAGCCTAAAGCGGTAGACTTTGGGCACTCTTAGTGTATGTTTATATCGTTTATTAATAAAGTATTAACTTCTTAATTCAGTGCAAATTTAAAATAATAATCATAATAATCACAACTCCCAACTCACCGGTAATACAGAATATCCCGCAAGGAAATTCTATATTACAATATTCTCATTAATTGCGTATAAATATTGTATGGTATATCATGAATTAAAAAATATTTTAGTAAACAAACAGCAAGTCAATTTGCAATTAATCTATGATTACATTTACCGTATATCAAATAGGGTTAACGAATTTAATGATCATTTCTCGTTATATTTATTTGTTTTATTATATTCTATATCAATATCATGCATAGCATTCACTTGCTTGTTAATTTTAAAAATTTACATTGTTATAATTCAGAATGTGTTGGGTCTTATAGTGAGTATAACATTATTATTATTACTTTGTTGTATACCCGAAATTATGGCAAAAGGATTTCGGGATATGATTGTAAAATTAGAAGAGATTTTGAATTCCGGGAATATGTCAGTGAATGATAGCCTCATATTCATGGAAATCAAGAGTTTTGAGTCGAGACTACGTTTACGGGCAATGAATTTGTTTGTAATAAATGGAAAAACATTCATATCGTGTATGGCTTTCATATTAACCTATTCTGTAGTTCTCATACAAACGACTCAATCGTAACAATTCATTGGTTAACATTATTTATATAATTATATTTTTGTTATTTATGTTCATAACAAAAATAATTTTAATTAAAAAACTACACATTTCAATACAAGTTAATTAATTAATTTTATAACCATATCTATTTGTTATTTTTTGGGATAAAGCAATTAATTTACATTTTACCCATGTACTGTATACAATTTAATTAATAAAGAAGCATGTCACTCTTAAAACATGAAAATATTTGATAACAAAAATGGTTATTTTATTGATTTTAAATTAATATTAACCACTATTATTTAAAATTAAGTAAATTATATTTTAAGCAGATTTATATATGTTTATAATTTTAGTTTGAAATTATAACTATAAATTTTTTAATTATTGCCTAATTTTCTAATAGGCAATGAACATAGAAAAATATATTATACGGTCAGTTCCAAAATAGAGTAACCTGGTTTTTCTAAGAAAAACACATGAAGACAATTTTTAATTTCATTCATTTTTATTTAAGAAATCCGGAACTTTGTGATAAATTTTATGAATTGACAATTATTTTTTTGTGACCTCGGTGTCAAAGGTTATTTCCAAAAAACTGTTTCCGAGGTTACACTGTATATATAAAAAATCTAACATTTTCAAATAATTTGTAAATTCATAAATGTTTTGACGTGTTTCGGGAATTTGCAAGATAATTCATGGATCAGTAGATATTTTAAGACAAATGTCTTAATAGCCGTTAAAAAATATATATTTTGGTATGGCTTTAAAAGGGAAATTTTGAATACAAACAGTAATTTTATATTTTAATGAATGTGCAACACATCAATGAAATTTTTTCAATTTTATTGCTTAAATAACTGTAATTTAAAATATTTGAATAAAATCTATTCTATACACAAATATTAAGTATTAAAATATTAAATACTAAATATTTAAAATTACAGTTATTTAAGCAATAAAAATAAAACAATTTCATTGAAGTGTTGCACGAAGTTGCAGAAGCAGAAGTGCCGCGTTTTAGGCGAATTCGACTATTACCATTACTATACATCTCCTATTATGCAGGAAATATGGGATCACGAGAAGTAAAAAGCTCAAGACCCATAAAGTATCTGATATAGGGTATGTATACGTGTAGATCTACCAATAAAGACCGACATTGCGATTCAATGTAACAGGCCTGATGTAGTAGTGCATGACAAGGGGCTCAATGAGATTACCATTGTGGAAGTGGGGAACACGTCCCAAGAACATTTGCAAACAAAGGAAGTTGAGAAAAAGAGGAAATATGATTTGTTAGCAAATGAGCTTGGACAGATCCATAAGTGCAAGGTCAACTTTATCCCCTATGTTATTACATGGGACGGTATTGTGACCAAGTACCACAAAGGGTATAGGAAAATGGTGGGAGTGGAGAAGTTTATTAAAGCCTACATCCAATGAACGACCCTCAAGAGGACTTTTGAGAGTATTTCAGTGGATTTCAGACGCAGTACAACGATGGGAGGAAGC